GTAGATTGAGTTATTTAATCAAAGAGAAAACGAAGAAGATAAGTGGTTCGCCTTAGTCGATTGGCCAAGGGTACATCCATTGTAATGGAGCCTCTTGCCCCTTAATGTTGTATATTAAAGCTCCGATGTATATAGACGGGATTCAGGCACTGGGCCTTTACAGGGATTGATGTTTAGTTTATAGAATGAACACGGTTGATAAATGTTCTTCGGAGATGCCCTTTTTGTAGGGCATTGTTCTATTTATATATGAGTCGTCTCTCTTTGTGGTTTATGACAGTTTCTTCTACCTTTTATCGATCCTGTGGGGACCTCCTATAATTGGCTTGCAAAAGACTTTTCCAGCCGGCGTCACTGCACCCATGATCTCTGGGGTGTTATGCTCCACCATCTTCTGCGTGTTGGAGGATGTAACTATCGCAGGTTTCAGAGATGACCCCCTTGTCCTCTGGATGCGTGGCACGGTGGGATGACTTCAAGGCAGAGATCCGATTCCTTCTCTTTGGATTGTTCTTTAGATGACACTTGATTGGGCCGGGACTAGGCCACTGCCCCTCAGGTGCCCGTTGGGCCTCTCCCTTTCAGCTCTTTGTCATGGGTTAATCAGAGGCGCTTCATATTGAGCCACCGGACTTTCCTCCAGTTCCTCTTGGTTTTTTTGGGCTTCGAGCTCATTGGTGGCCCATGCCTAGAATTTTACCCTTATCAATCGTGAATCATTTTTAGTGGTCTAGTCTTTGTTATTTATAAAGATAGCCTTCAATCATTGACCCATCTTTTCTGGCCATTACTGTGATTATTGGCTTGTCCCTTGAGATGGGTGGACGTGCGCTGAACCGACTCCATTTGTCCGCTCATGATGCTATTTTTCTTGAGATTCTAAGAGTCCTACTCTTTTAACCGTTCTGTCAATCGTGGACTCTCATAGACCTCTTTAGGACCGTTGGATCTTTTCCATGTGTCACCCATAGATCTCACTATTTTTAGGTGTAATAAACATTCTATCACCTAAAGGGTCATATATCTACCGGTCAAGTCTGTTCTTTTATAAGTAAAGGGTCTTAAATTTGATACTTTTCGGTAGATAAATTCTCAAATTAACTTGAATTATGGTGATCGATCACACAACTCGATGAAGTAGTCAACGCAAGCTTAGATACCTTGTAAAAGGAACAAAACAAAAAAAGAAAAAAGAAAAAAGGGGCCATATGTAACCGACTGGGATTCGCCCAAGCTCCTCAAATCCGTCATGTAATGGGATTCACCTAAGTCTGTTCCCATATAGAAAAGAGAAATGCTATAGAAAATTAGAAACCATCTTAACCTGTACCTACGTGGGGCCTATTCAATTACGTCTCCTCCATTATGATCTGTCCAGGCATGCCTCTTTGTCAAGTCTCACCGTTACAAGATAAGTCCGTTCTAATATCACCTGTTACCAAACTTGATATATTATTTGTCTTAGGGATATCCAACCCCTCCTGGTCCTAAACAAATCACAACAGTTTAGATGATGAATTCGCATACATACCACGATTGCATTTTTTTACCCAGATGTGGTGGGACATGTAAATGGACTAGATACTTTAATAACCTTTTTCTTTCTTCTCAACCAGTCGTAAGTTCTCTTAGACTATTGAACGACTAGATTTTTAATTGTCACATTAATATCAAATACGTTTGTTTGATTTGATTTTGGCACGGCAAACCACTTGAAACAATATTATGAGAAAATATGGCTTATTTTTTTTGTCGGGATGTGGATAAAGTAGTTTCTCAATTGACCATGACTCATATGTAGTTGATTTGGTTGAAAGAAAATAGTGTTCTAATAATACGTGAATATTATCTATACATTTTATGATCCAAAATGATATGATCTCAAATGATATGATATGACTCGAATGATTCCCGTAGAGCCATGGTTGTGACTCACAAATGGGTCCAATGATTTTATGGTTGGTGATTCAAATTGGACACATGAGCATCAGCATGGTTGACCTCATAGGTATCTCTCTCAAATCACTTTATTTTATGTTTCCTTAAAGTTGCAAGGTCATTTACTCCACAGGCATTTCAATTCAAGTTACTTCCAGAGCTACACAATCATAGCTTACAAGAAATTTATTCGTTCAAGCATGATAAAATGTCTGATACCCAATACGTATTTTATAATCTATTTCGATTTAATCAATGGACGATACTTATTTACGAATTGTATCATTTTTAATTGTATCTTACGATTTGTTTTACTACAATAAAAAAAAACCGATACACACAAGATCATTAGCATACCATCTATTACATTATTTGACAAATATCATTCGTTCAACGAGTCGATGAATTTCTGATTTCGGTGGCTAAACCACATTAATATTATTATCCACATACAAGATCGAAAATATGGTAAATACATAGATAAAGATTGGCGGAAAAAGCAAATGGGATATTCTTTTTTATATTTCAACATAAAAAAAAGAATGGGAAAAAGCATTGAGCCTTTGCTACTATGCCTTTTTTTTCCCCCACTTCCACTCTATGCCCAAACCGCCACTCACATCACACACTCTTGTCTTGCACATACATATTACAAACCTCAAAGGTGGGTCCTGTCCACGACTATATATACAGACTTTATTGGACTTCATATTGCTGGGCTGGCCTGCTCTAATGCTTGGGCCTTGGCCCATATTCCCCACAGCTCTGACACCATCTTACTTTCTCCAGTTCCACGAAAATGAGAGATTCCCACTCAACCTGAACATACAAATTAAAATAATATCACGTGAGTACGACACCGTTTTTCTGCTACATCAGATCTAGATTATGAATGGATTCTGGATTCTCGCGTGCTCGTGACAAGTAGAAGAAAAAAAACATTATTTTCATAGTTTAGTCAATAGCCTTTTTGACTATTATGACATGACATGTACAAGCCAATCTAAAGACGACTTGGTATTAAAAATGGCAAAAAAGTGGTAGCATATAAGCATTAACAAATCCACCAAAGGGTGACTATCTACCGACCGCGACCGTGACCGTGACCGTGACCGTGTCACTCTTATCGATATGATTTAATTTAATTAAGTTTCGAGCTCATATATGTCAATGCTCAACAGTATATTTATATATATATAAGTCTGTCTATTACAAAAGAGACTTATAATAAATTTTTAAGTCCTTTCATGTATATATGACACATCCGATAAGTCTCGTGATGTGGGAAAATCTTTATGGATCTTCCCACTCAAAGCATATAATAGTCAAAACAACTCAATGTTTGGTTTTTTGGCTATTAAACTTCTTGGAGTAAACCATGCACATACTTCCAATCACAAGAAACTATCGATTTTACTAAAACTATGTGTAGTTTGGTAAAAAAAGGTTGAACATTTAATGTAGACTCTACCATCTAAAATTTAATTTCCAAAAAATGTCTAAATCAGCTATTGTAGAGACCTCAATTGAGTTTTGTTCTACTCTAAATGGGTTGATCACTAGCCATACCTAACTTTGGTAGGTATGGTGTGCCAAATCCTACTACTCCCAAGGGACGTGTGTATGAGGAGAGGGGCCATCTTTGAATAGATGGGGAGGGGCATCTTCGGGTAGCCCTACTCTGAGCCAAAATGAAACTTTATTAGCCAAAAGTAAGCCTAGGCCATTAAATATGTAGGGACTGCTGAGCAATCAGATCAAAGCCTAAGCCTTTGAAAAAGAAACAAAAAAAAAAGCAGATGCATAGTTTGGGGCATAAGTAATGAATCAAATTCAAATCAAGCCAAAGGGGGATCGATACTGGTATAAAACTATAAATAGATCCTGCCTTCGTGGTTGGAGATTTGAAATCCTCACCCTAAGGTAAGATGTTCAAGATAAAACCTTATAGACATCAACATGGATCTGATGTGAATCATTTTCAACATGTCTTTTAATATCAGTCACGGTCAATTGTCATTCGAGCAATGTTATTGGGATATAAAAATTTAACATAATTTATTAACTTAATACCCCGTGATCTTTGAATTGACTATAGACCTCATCAATCATTAGAACTTGATGTTGATCCAATAATTTCTATTAAATCACGTTATTATGTAAGTAAATTAGATCAGATTTTTAGCTATAAATATCATTACTCTTGTCGTTAGGATACACAGGGAGTAATCTAATCTTGAATTCGATCCAAAAGATTGTAAAAACATGGATATACAATGACCTAAATATTTGAAAAAATTTACAAAAAACTAGTGACAGTGGGTATAGAGATTGATGGGTTGTTGTAAATTCAAAAATTTTGGGGTAACAAATGGAACATTCAATGATTCCCCACCAAAAATGGATACTCTGCCTATCAAATTTTGACACCTCTTAATAAGATTGAAAAAGTTCCATAATAGCTTCTAGATTCCACTAAACGCATTTTAGGGCAACGTATCGGAAGACTTTGCAACAGTTTATAACCAAAAATAACATCATAATTACCAGGTGTATCAACAGAGTTGACTCTGACTCTAGTGCTTAACAGACAATCCGAGTCAACTCAGTCGTTCCAAACTATGGCAATGCAGAGTAACAAAATTCAGCACAACAAAATGGGTAAAAGGGATGTTAGCTTACCCGGCCCGCTTTAGTCCCGGAAAATCACTTTCTCCGCCATATCCAACAATGGTTTCAAGCAATCCGACGAGAATTTACGTGCAAACAAATACGAATACGTAGAATTTGATGTCCTGAGCTGGTTAATAAGCTCCGGTGAGAGCTCCATCGGCCGATAAGTATGCGGGTGCCCATCCGTGCTACCGTTCCAATTGACCCGAGTAAGAGTGTATTGAGTACACCCATCCGGATCCTCCATCGACAAAAGGGTCGGAAAATAATGCTCTTCCGGGTAACACGAGTCAGCGTTCAAACAAGGCAGTCTAAACTTCCTCCATAGCCTCCTATCCTTTATCACCATCAACGAGTGAGCCCGAGTCAAAACAAAAAACTGCGATCCAATGCGGAACTTCTCAAATGGGATCTCAGGCAGCATCAAATTCTTCCCTCTCGCCGTGTACCGGTCAGGTAATTGGGGCTCATCGGATAGTATTTCGATGAAGCTCCGATGTGGGTATAGAGTTGGGTACCGACTTGACTCAGTATTTGGTGGTTTGAAGATGGAATTGTAAACATAGTTGAAAGAATGCAATGGGATGCAGTGTTGGGATACAAGGGCGAAGTAGGAGTTGAACGTGTCGTCTAGGAGGGCGGTGGCGAGGAGGCGGCGAGCGGCGGAGATCAGGGTTGGGGAGGCGCGTTCGGTCTTCTTGGCGGCGATGAAGCGGGTTTTGAAAACGCCACCGGGTGGGTTGATTTTGGATTTAGGGTCGGCGTGAATGTAGATGTTGTAATAGTCTTTGTGGCCTTTGAAGAAGAGTTCCCAGAGTGGTGCGAAGTGGAGGTCTGTATTGGTGAGGAAGAGGAACGCGATTTTGGGCTTTGGGTTGGTGGTGCTAAGGCGAGAGATCGAGCCTGGAGGGTGGAGAGAGGCGAGTGTGGCTCGGCGGAAGAGCGCGAGGTCGTCGAGTTCGTCCGGTAGAGAGACCTGGACGTGTTTTGGAGGGAGGATTCGTGGGGCGAAGAGGAAGAGGAGTGGTAATGAGAGCAAGAGCGCGAATGATACAACAAATGGTGTGTTCGACATGGCAAAATGTTTTGAAATTATGTGTGAGATGAGGGTTTTGTTGATGATGTTGATCTGGTTTTTGATGGTATTTTCTTGGGAAAGTGAGGGATTTAGAGAAGAAAATGGGGTGGGATGGGTTCAATGGATTGAAGAAAAGGGTGAGGTAGGGGGGGTTTCTTTGGTGGGCTGATGTTTGGTGGGGCTGATGAACAAGATGATCTAAGAGAGGGGGAATAGAAATGGTAGGATAAGGAGTTGAAAATTGGAGGTTAAAGAGGCAGAAAGGAGTGGCTTCTGGGTAAACTTTTGCTTTGGCGTGTGAGTGTGTGGTGAGAGAGAGAGAGAGAGAGAGAGAGAGAGAGAGTAGTGGGATTAAAGAGAAAGGGTAAAGTTGAGATTGGGGTGGAGGCTTTGGTATTAATCTAGAAGGAGGAGGAGGAGGATGATGGGGAGGAGAGGTGGAGGTATTATCATGGATCAATGGTGGCCTGGTTGGGGCTTGTTTTTGGTGTTTATTATTGTTGAATCTAGTAAACGACAAGGACAATGGATTGGGACAAAGGATAGCGACAAGGGATTGTATGTGTCTGGTCACATTTTTAGCGGGTGCGTTTGGACAAGTTTTTGACTTTTTTTTTGAATAAGTTTTTTAAGTTTACACAACTATTCTCTTAAAAATTAACATTATTTATACATGGATAATTAGGGCTAATAAAAATGTTCTCTGTCTGTACTTGAGTTCAATTGCTCATCATCTCCTAAGTTATTACCGAATGCATTCTTATGATATTACGGACGACTGTCCAAAGAGCAAGGTGCTAACTCCGACTCGAATAGCATTATGCATACCTCCGACTCTTATCTTAGGGCATTTTTAACAAAATTTTGTATTTTAGTTATTCAAAAGTTTATTTTTTCTATTTTATTTTTTCACTTTTTTATTACATATTCAAACAGATTTTTTTTTATTTTAAGTATTTTTTTTTAAATATCTTATATTTTGTACCTTTGCTGAGACTATTACAGGGAAAGAGAGAAAAAATGGAGAGAAAAACTAAAAGTAGACAAAAGAGGTAAAAAATGACAAGAGGAGAGAAAATATATTATAAACTATTTATACATAATATTGTAGTGATACTCTAAATCTATGAAGTATGAATATTTCGTTGAGGTTGACGTACCCGTATCGAATACAATATTTGTCGGATATTTGAGGATACGTATCAGATATACCTTCTACGTATTTGATAATAATTAAATATTATGATACTTCACGAATACTTTTATAGTAGAACAACATATATAATTTTTTAGTTGAGCTTTTAACATCTCGTTTCGAATTCACATATCATACAATATATTAACAAACATTTTATATTATTTCACAGGCAAATGAGTGTTTTTTAAGTATTATCTACAATTATATGTCAAAAAATCATATAGTAAAGCTATTTCATTATAATCTTAACAAAAATTACTTTTAAATACTAGATAAATATTAGTTTTAATTTATTTAATTAGTCATTTCACTTTGTGAATATACCACAACAACACGATATATATTTTAGTGAAACTAAAAAAGAATTATTAATTTTCTCTATTATACGTTAAAGAACTACTAAAATATATAAGTTTAAGTAGTTTAAAAATATTTTATTATAGTCGTATCCTGATCGTACCCGTATCCTATTTTTTTAAACTTTATCGTATCACTATATTCGTATCGTATCGTACCCGTATCCTATATTCATATTCGTACTTCATAGCTCTAAATATTAGCAAAAATGCATTTTACATACTTTGAACATTTTCTGTTGGAACATATTTTTTGTCTTTGAATAATTAAATTTTAACTATTTTGAAGTTTTAACTATTCTCTTGGAGATGCTCTTATGCGACAATAATATTTGCTATAAATGTATTATAATTAATTTTTTTTAATAATATACCTATATTATGAATTAAGTGAGGGGATGATTTTGGTATCCATCCATTCCATGACCACAACATTCAAAATTTTTTATAATCATCAAACTGTCTTTTTCATTATACTGTTTTTCTCATTATATTTTACTGTATTTACATATATATATTTTTTTATATAAAGACTTATAATTATTTGTTGATGAGATGTTCTCCCAATAGCCAAGACCGAGCATAGGATGCTTAGGCCAAGACCGAGCATATGATGCTTGGTTTGCGAAAAGATGTCTACTCGGTCTATTCCGAGAGCCTCGAGTAACGCTGTAACACCCCCTCCCATTATCCAGCAAGATATTGTCCTCTTTGGCACAGGGTCACGGAACACCGTTTTCCTCCCCTGCCCTCAAGGGTTTGTTCCTCCCAGGGGTTCCCTGGGAAAAGGCCTCTTGCAAGGTAAGGGCTGAAGGCTTACTTATAAGCCCAGCAACTCCCCCCTCCGTAACCGATGTGGGATACCAGGATCTCACAATGTAACACCCCCCCACTACCCAGCAAGATATTGTCCTCTTTGGCACAGGTCACGGAACACCGTTCTCCTCCCCTGCCCTCAAGGGTTTGTTCCTCCCAGGGGTTCCCTGGGAAAAGGCCTCTGTAGATATGAACTCCGTAGCATAGCGGGATAGCTCATCAAACTTCCTCTCGTATTCAGCTAAAGTCAGGCTGCCCTGTCGTAGAGTAAGAAAATCGGTCTTCATTCGATCTCGGACCGATTCCGAGAAGTACTTGTCTTGGAAGACTTGATCAAACTCCGCCCAAGTGAGAGCATCCGTGTTCATTTTCCTTTTCACCGAGTCCCACCAATGGTCGGCTTCCCCCTCCAACAAATAGATAGCCAAGCCAACCCGCAAGTCCTCGGCCACTCCCATTCCGTCCAACATCTTCTTCACACGGCGGATCCATTTATCCGCATCCAAGGGATTGGAGCTCCCTTGGAAAGTAGGTGGGTGTTGCCTCAGAAACTCTCGGAGAGCTACCATTCTCCTAGTCTCCTCTCCGTTGCCCGGTACTTGGGCTAAAGGATGTGCTCCACCATTATGGTTGTGGTGGTTGTTGTTACCATTTTGGTTTTGTACCAAAGTGGTGAGCTCCCTCAAACATTGGTATATGCCATCCATGGCATCGGAAGGTGGTGGTGGTGGTGGATATGTTTGACCTCCACGGCCACGGCCACGCCCACGTCCACGTCCACGTACACGTTCACCGTCCATCCTGCACATCAATTCACAATTTAGTTTCATTGATGTACAAGACATACTAAAATGATATGTAGGATGTCTTGATTTAAGCACAAGGCATATACAAAATTTAACTCAACCATTTCCTGCACCCTAAACTACATCTCTAGTGGTAGTCCATAACCTACAGCTCCCATGTAAGACCTAAAGCCTAGGCTTTGATACCAAACTTTGTAACGCCCCAAATACCCCCTCGGACGGCATTACATTCTAAAACCTTTCACAATCATGAGAGCACTAAATAAATCCATAAATAAGAAATTTTTATCCATCAACCATTGATATTTTAACAAAATTCGGGCAGAGTCTCCTTTGTACGGGGAGCTCTACCACAAAATCCAACCTGTGCAATTCTACTATAATGACCACACCGGGTCCAATTAACTACTATATAATCAATCCATCAAATTTACATGTTACCCAAAAAAAATATGCCCACAATGGCATGTACATTCCCAAAGAATTAAACTATGATAAGCAGCGGAATTTCAAAAGATAACTAGACTTTACAATCTTTCAAAAAAAAAATAGCCTAGTCTAGAACAAAATAGAAGGGCCGCTCTAGGCGTCCACCTCGGGATCTACGCTCCCGTCGATCGGAGTCTCCCAAAGAACGGGCTCCTCGACTCCTGGCTCCTCCTCAAGGATATAGTCTGAAAAATGTTAACAGTAGGGGATGAGCACTAGGCTCTGTAGCAAAATCTTCCCAACTCCAACAAGGTTTATAAAATACAAAACGGGTCGGTCACATTTCATAAATAACATATATGAATTTGAAGTAAAACAGGACATTTTAAATAGATCTCAAGTTTAAGCCATACAGTAGTTAAGGAGAGAAATAAATTAAGTTTAACCATAGCAAACCATTTCCAACATTAAGTCAATTAGGAGGGGCTCCCTCCGATGCATCGTCCCATACCAATGCACCGGCCAAGCCATTCCAGCCAATCATCACATTTATGTTGGTTCATCCCCGTACCATGTATGTTGATTGTTTCTCATGAATCTACCCAACGATTATACCTAGTCCACCCTTTTATAATCACAATCACAAGTACTTAGGGAAGGGGCGTCTACCATCCCAATGGCAGTGACGAGTCCCTCCCCAGGAATGGTATACCAACCCTAGTTCGAACTCCAGGCGTACGATAGTGGTCGCATTACCAAATGACAACTCACTACAAGTGCAAGAAACCATCTCCCCCCCCACTGGGTTCAACTGACATTTACACTCTACGGCATATCTCGTAGGTAATCCAAGTCCCTCACAACCACCATACAATGAGTAAACCAACATATTCTCAATCAATTCACATTTTACCAATTAATCGCAAAATACCCAAATTTCACAAGTAAAGCGTCATAGCAAGATGGAATTAAAATGAGCAAAAGATCAATATAAAGATCATTTTCGTTGAACAATATCGAACACTAAATTTATAAAGTGAGAACCAAGGCAATATATGGAGAAAACTCAATTTTTCTTAAAACCAAGTTTGGAAGATGAAAAAGAGAAATTTAATGGTTACCAAACCATCCCATTATTCAAACATAGCATTTATTACAAGGAGAATTAAGAATCATACAAATCATATCAAATAAATATGGATGGGAGTGGAAAACATATGTATATACATAAACCCTAGCCTCAATGTAAGAAATTAGGAAGAAATCCCCTACCTCTTGGTTGTAGCT